CCCGGTACTTATATCATTTGCTGATAACAAGAAGGGGGGGTGAATTTTCATATTGATATACACGGTAGTTGATTTTATTGAACAGATAAATTCAAGGTGACTAAATGAGTCAATTGGTAAAAACACTACCTGGTTTATAGACAAGTACAGAGAGTTCCTTTGTTAACACAATGTTTTGGGAATCAACAACAACTGTATCTATTATTCATTTTCTTTAAACAACAAATAGACATCAGCACCAACATTATGTAATACCCGTAGATAGGTTGTTATATAGTGTTGAGAAGAACCATTTCTCAGAACTTCTATAGCCGTATGACAGAAAAAATGACAGTAAAAATACCACAAATGTTTTTCAAATGATTTATAATTCAAAAACAAGTTGTCTGAGTCAGACAGTAGGGAATAGAGAAATGAGTCGTGACCTGAAAAGAGGGGAGCTAAGCACCTTGAGCTGTTACTTTCAACTGCGTGTTTAATGGCAACTGGAGTTAATATGCCTCTAGTTCCGGCGAAAACGACTCCATATTGAAACTATTTACTAAATAGAAACATACATATGTGCCACAAATGCACAGAGCGCAAATCTATCGACAGTTGATTTGATTGGCTTAGAAGAATGATATTTCTACTTCCATGTCTGGTTTGGTGGTTGTTGGTGGTTGTTCATGGCGTGCCAGGAGAAATGCTTTAGTGATGAACTGTTAATTGTGTTTGGGTTCATTCAGGTACAATCGTGTTCTTTTTCCAAAGTCTCTTTGCGAAGATCGATTGTTCCTTTGACACGTTGTCGGAAAGACGTTTGTCATTGGTCTTGGAATAAGACATATGTCATGATTTCTTTAAGTCAGGTCAGACTCCTCCTGCTACTGTTTACATGTAAACTAGTAGTACCTGCCCTATGGTCGGGTAGTCGGCGACTTCACCGGTTCCCCAACTAAAGACACAACCTGTCAAAGGGTCCCAATCGAGCCAACTGCCATCCACAATGTACGTGTAAATGCGTGAAATATTTGGTAATCATTTGGTTAAGACGTGATGTTTTTTGTTTTTTGTTTTTTTAATGAGACAAAGATCTGTTCGAATATCTTTACTTTTCGAAGTTAGACGTTACATAGCAGCGTCGCAACCGTACTGATGTGACTGTGTATAGTCATTTTGATAAATTCAGGAATTACGATTGATATATCACAACCGTTTTGTTGAAAAACTATGCTGAACGTGCTTACTGCATGACTAAAGAGCTAGGTGGAGTTGGTCCAGATTATTACTGGGTTGGTTCTACGTTTCACTATGTGGCCAGTAGGGTTAATAAGTATAATACTAGGGCTTGAAGATGGTTGCTTCATCTTCGGAACATTGCGTTTCAGCAACAAATACACTCACCAGACGAAAACTGTGAGCAAGTGTAGTGTCACGATGAAACCTCTTTTTAATGGAGTGAGATGTCTGTTGAAAATGTCACGTGTGGAAGGAACTGATAGCTGTATTCTGTATGCTTTGCAAAAGTACAGTGTACTTTTGCTTGCGGTATGTCTTTCACTCTTGTACCGAAACCATATACGCTTTTGATTCCCTCAGGGTTGTAAACGGGTTTTAAACGACAAAAGTTGGCATAGTTATAGCAAAACAGAATTAAGGCATCTGTATATTTATTTCATATCGGTATGTTTCGTTATCCAAACCTCGTACTTATATTGGCACTGAATATTTCAAAGATAATATTGGTAATTTTAGAATACCAGATCGATAGGATTGAGTTTGGTAATGTTATTCACAAAAAACAAAGAATCGTTATAACGGTTGCAAAAATAATCAATAGCGGCTGTGATAAACTCTGTATCGTTGATGCTTCTACTTTGATTTTCGTCGACGTAACTAAATGACTTATAGAAGCCCTTGTCAACATTGAATACTCGAAGGAAGTCCTTGTGCTCCAAGATGTCCAGCTCTTCATCATCGTCTTCATCAGCTGCGCTAAATACACCCTTTGCCCAAAATTTGACCGACGGCTGAAACATGGTGGTATTAAATATTGCCACATGAGTCGAAATGAAATCCAACACGTCAAAGCATTGTTGAAAGTCGTTTTCTGGGATGGACCAAAGTGAAGACCACGCATTGGAGACAGTCTCGTTCAAAGCGTCGATCTTTTCCGGCGCAAAATAGCCCATGGCTCTTTCAACAGCCTTGTTGATATATTCATGTTTGTCCACAAAGCCGTCATTGTCAGCGTCCAACAGGTTAAAAAAGCGGATCCATTTATCACGCCGTTATCCCCTTCCTCCAGATCTTCCTTGAGTTTATAAATTGTGCCATAAATACGTTTGTATTAATATTATATAATATTATTCATTTTAAAACAACTACTTGTGGAAAGCAATACACAGTTTATCCTAAGCGTGAATTTAACACATATTGTTGTGTAAAAAGACATTGATTCCACCCGCTGTTGCCCCTATTTGAACGTGACCACTGGAAACTGGAGTTAAATTGATGCGTGAAATATAATGACACAAAATATGGCCAACAACACCAAGATCAGGTTATTCCCCAGGATACACGGAGATATGCGCGTTTCTGCAACCAATCAAAAATATTTTATTCATTGCTAATTATCAAAATATTTGGTCAAGTCATATTCAGGACTCTTAGCAGCCAACCGCAGACTTACATAATCTCACGGCAAGTTAGTTATATAGTACAAATTTCGTAAATATTCTTGGTTCTGTTTGGCAAAAACAGAAGCCTTAATTGTCCTTAATTATATCAACCTACCTATACATTTTGTTTGTGACGTTTTTTTCCTTCACGCATTTATGAACTATGGATAGAATGGGCATGTAAGCTCATCCCTTCATCATTTCGAAATGATACACATATTAAAAGAACACCTTACCTTCGGAACATTCTGGGCTCCACCACATGACTTTCCCATTACATCATTCACAGCCACCAACAGCAAGAACCAGAGCAAACCTGAAAAAAACATGTTGCTTGTGTGCTGAGCAAGTGAATTAATCGCCAATGGGTCTGCGTTCTCTGCGAAAGTGTTACGTATCGGTACAGCGGTTTGTTTAAATAGGTTATTTTCGGTTTAGTCAGAGGTGAATCTTACCAAATCGACTTCCAACACGTAGTAAATGGGGGCAGTCCAAAAAGGGCACTTGGTTTATCATTTTGTGCCGTTTTCATTGCCAAACTGATGCAAATTTAAAATAATTCCATTGGGTTTAAAACACAATAAATGGTATGGCTAGCACGTGCACACGGGCTTACCATAGACTGATAACAATTAACTATGGTAAATGCACCAGGCAACACAATATTTAACAACCCATATTACGTGTTGATGCTGGCCTTCGATTGTGCAAATACACAGGATGATAAATACATATAGGTTTGCTTGATTTCCAAAACATTCGACGCCTGAGGTAAACTAATTCTGTACTGGGATATAGATCAGAGGTCTCTTCTTACTAATCGACCCGTTTTTCAGCTAGAAAAAACTGGATATTTAGACATAATAAAATCGCTATTTAATATATATTGGCGTATCTTTTGTGGCAACTTTTTCGTGGCATTCTTTAACTGTTTATCTTTGTGCACAGTAAAAAGCTATTAGCCCTGTGATTCTTTTATCGGAATGAAACGATGATCGACCGTAGGTTATAGCCTACCGAAGTCTAACCAAAGATACGAAGGAGAAGTATCTTTGCACAGGCATGGAACAACTAAATCAGTTGTAGATCTGTCAATAGTTGCAATGTGCGATTAAAATGTATGGAATATGGCCTTAATACATAGTATGTAATTAGTGAAGACAATATGGCATTTAGAAATTTCCAATTTATATGAATGTTATTATTTGTGAATGTATGTATGAGGAAACCTCCGCCAAGGCAGCAAAGTCTCCACCCAATGCCATTTCACCCCTAAAATTTCATTCTATAATGGTTAAATTTTTTGATTATTGATTATCGATTGATTACTGATCCGGATCAGCACCAAAAACGAATCTTCTGTTCCTTGGCCCATTTCTGACAGTTCAAGATCATTTCATCAAAATCGGTCCATAACTTTTTCTGTAATGTTGCTAACAGACAGACAGACAGATCGCCGGTGACGGATCACCAGCTTATTCATCACGTGACATTATTGAGGAATTTCCCGAATTTTTATTTGCTTCCCAAGCTGTATAACAGTCAAAAATAACTTTAAAGTTATAATGCATACGATGTACATTTTTTCGATGTATCAGAGGAGGAAGTAGTCTTCTCATATGTGCAAAGCAAATATAAAAGGCACAAACAGTGTATATTGATGCCTGGTAACGTTATGACAATAAAAACGTGCAACGTCTGTACTTCATGCATTGGCTGATAAAGAAAACATTATTTACGTACATTTGATATGTATTGCTACATATAATTTTATTTCAAATGACAGTATCAATCTCACCACATCAAGCTTCTAAACCCCCCCCCCCCCCCGCCTTCATGGTAAAATCCTTTTTTCTTCGCTAAGTGTGTAATTAAGAAATCTCGTGAGTAATTAAGCTTTCGATATGGATCCTTCTTTTGCAAAAGAACACATACTGTTTTCTCCATGTCGTCACTTTAAAACACTTAAACTGAGGACCAAAAAGCATTTTTAATCAAAGCACCTAGAACAGCCCCCAGTTACACAAAAAGAAAGAAGAAGAAAAAAAACAAAGTCAGTTCCCTGGCTTAGTTGACTAGGATTTCCATGAGAGAGCTGTAACACTGTTTCTAAATATTGTAAAAATATGCAAATGGGATCTTGTAACGTTGGAAATTAAGTTCATAGCCAGGGATTATACGCATCCTTGAGTTATTTCGCCTTATTCAAGATAAAAAATAAACATCAAAATATCACCGGGTATATTGGACGTTCGTCTGCCGAATACAAGGAAGGACCCTGAACTATCCACCGTCCACGAGGCTTTATTCAGTATAATACACGTCCTAGTTCTGTGTTTACGAATGGAATGGATAATTTTTGCTGTGTTTTAGACTGAAAAAAGAACAGTATCAGTTATAAACAGCCTTCTGTAAGCACACATTAATTTGCAACAGAATGTAATTAAGTTTTTTTCCAACTAAAATATATATGCATAGGTAACATTTCAGATAAAATAAGATGTACGAACTAAATAATTGATGAACTCATTTAATTGTTATAAACCAAATCATGAACCAGTGATATTAAATAACTGGATTCAATAAATGACGTAAAATTAAATTTGCCAACAGATCGAAATACGCTACATATCAATGTAAAACGGTGTACCAACAAATATAGCGCAAAATTATTTTTTCAAGTACAAATTTAATTTAGCTTTAATACATAATCATGTTTCAGTCAAGTAATTGGATAATTGTGTTAAATTAATCAACCACTAAGTGACCTCTCCATCCACAATACCCAGAAGATCTGATTAAGTTTTCCAAGTTTTGTACTAAACTAATCAAACGTTAACTGACCTCTCCAGCCATATCACCCGGAAGTTCTGGTTAAGTTTCTCAAGCTTTTTCATGTCATCTCCAGAGAGCTCGAAGTCAAATATCTGTGACAAAAGATAAATAAATAAATATATAAATAAATAAATATATAAATAAATAAATAAACATGTTTCTGTATGTATGACATTGTACGCCTTTAACTTTCACAAGCCCTTTTTAAGTTGACTTTTGCATATTGGTATAAACGTATTTAAAAATGGGTTGAGCTGAATGAATTTGATCGACCCTGCCCGGTCGACCTAGCTCCATGGAGGCTCTCGATGAATGAAATGAGATGAAAAAAATATGGTAATTATCTTTGTGAAAAACTATGGGTTTATTTTGAGCCTACATTGACCAATTTTTTTTACTACTTAATTATTTATTTTTGACATCACAAAACAAACCATACATTTGTCACACTAAACACATATTAAAACAAAGTCTCCATTAACAATCTGATGCAACACAAAAGACTGACAGTTGGGGTTATCGAATTTATTTCAGATTCATATAAAAACTTAGCTGTGAACTTAGGTACACAAAGAAGATAGGCATGCACTAATTGGCTATGACCGCAAGGTATAAGGGGATTGTCACACATCCACACTAGGCACTTAATTATTATATCGTCCTAAGTAAGGCTGAGTTGTAAATTGTACGTTAAGATGGCCCAAATTCTGTATTGAGTCCAGATATTCTTTAGCAAATTCAACAAAGGAAATAAGTAATAATTGCTTGTTTTTGCACCTAAAGCTGTAGCTATGTTTGATTAGCATATTTAAGACATTATACGCATCTTTATTACTTTCCTTTTTGTCAATAATTCCAAATATAAATGTTTTTTTTTCTAAACTCATACTCAGCTTATCTTTGATTACTTTTACAAAAGGTTTCCGTTACGGCACAGTCCCATAGTACATGGATTATTGTTTCCGTCTCTTTCTCGCACCTTTTACAAAGGGAGATGTTGACCAAACCAGTTTTTGCAAGATAACTAAATGTCGGTAGTATATTTTGGTTTATTTTATACTGGAACCACTTAAGGTTAGGACTGATAGGAAGGTTGAAGGGCAGTTTATTTATTATAGACCACTCTTTGTCATTAACATCGAACAATTTATTCCAATTTATTTTGCCCTTTGAAGTTGAAGTATTCTTACTAAGTATTTTATAGAAATCTTGGCAGCCCTTCTTACTTTCAAAGAAGATACTTAAATGCTCTGGCAGTTTAGGGACCCTTCCTTCAAATTCGTTTATGTCATGCAATCTCAAGTATTGCTTGATAACTGCCTACCACCCCTTGATATTCTATAATAAGTTGGTACGAATATACCGTATCGCTTAGTTATTTCTTCTTATGAGAAAAAGGTTACTGTTTTAATGTCTTTTATAAAATCCCTTATTGTAGATATACCTTTATTGAACCAATGCTTATAATATATTAACTTACTGTCTACTCTAAGCCTTTCATTATACCAGGAGGGGTGTCCAACACAGACTTGCTTTTCCCCCTTAACTTATCATTTTTGACCCTGAGTTCTTTCCATGCAAGTAACGCGTCTCCTCAGAACCGGTTTCGGCAAACTTTTACACATTAATTCAAATACTCATTACCACCCATTGACAGAAGTTCAAAATGAAGATATATATATCGACATCAATTTGCCTTTTTTTTTCTCGTTGTAAAAAATACGTCTAATCCAATTTAGTTTTAGTGAGGATGTTAGTAAAAGCAAGTGTCTCATTTTGATACCACCTTCATCGTAATTTTTAATAATTATATCGCGCTTAACTTTGCCAATCTTTGAGTTCCACAAAAAGTGGAAGATATCACTCTGAAGATCATTGATAAGCCTTTGACTAGGATTTGGTAAGGATATAAACAAATGAAATTATTAAGGATTTTATAATCATACACTTGCTGATGGGGGTGACCATTCTTCTATTCCATGCCTTAATAATTTTACTACTTAAATTTATTTTTTAGCTTTCACGTAACTCGAGAAAAGCTGAAAATATCAAATGGATTTTCACAAAGACACCGAGCAAGCATTATAACATCAGCAAGGACTACTAAATCAAAGAAAGACAGAGACACAAAGGTGCAAGAAAGCGATCCTCCATTCAATACGTACATCTATATTTTCTTTCAGCCGTGACAAGGTCTTAGTTTGGGGCACGGGACAAACCTGTCGCTGGACTTGGTACCGAAGCGCCACCTATAGGCAGACATACATTAATACAATTAAACACCCAAACTGAATATAGAGGTGCAAATGAGGTCAAAGGCATGCTCTTAAAATATTTGATGCACAGAGAACATAATTATGTTTGATTATTTTAGGTTGAATGATGAAGGGTGTATCAAAGTTTCACTCCCCTGTAACCATGAATAATAAAAAATACTTATTCTTCTANTCGCGCTCGCGCAGGACCACAGAAACAGGCGTCATGGGGTTCACTCGCCTAAGGTATTGTGTGTTATTACGTCTAAACTATTGTGTTTTGGCGTTCGAATTTTGAAGGGATTAGACGGGTCTCCATTGTTTGTCCGCCCCCTTCTATTCATAGTATAGGGATTAAAACGTTTTGACGTTTTTAAAACGTCGTACAACGGAAACTTAATTTTTATTACTACTGTAGTTACATAAGGACGTCACAACCGTAGTAAATCGGATAGGTGACTGTGTATAGTCATTTTGATAAATTCAGGAGCTGTGATTGATATGTCACAGTGGTTTTTGTGGGAACATTGTGCTCAAGATTCTTACTGACCAAAGAGATAAGCGGAGTTGGTCCATTTCAACTCTTAAGTTTTCCAGAGACAGCACAATATTATACAATATCAGAGTTAGAAATTCTGTTATCACAACAAGCACAGAAGTTAGAAACCTGGATGTAATTCTCAACAACAATTAATTGTGACATGACTACAAAGGGTGTTAATCATCATAATTTAGTCTACAACGAATATCTAAGATTCTTCACCTTATTGACAGCAAGCAAGCAGAGCTAATTATCCATGCATTTGTGATTTCTAGACTCGTTTATTGCAACAGTCTTTTGTTTGGAATACTTACCTGTAACTATCAAATGGAAAAAAACTGCAGTCTATTCAAAATTCGACAGCTCGTCTCCTTCGAAAAAAACAGACCACATCTCGCCAGTTTTCCGCGGTCTTCATTGGTTACCAGGCTCTCAAAGAATAGTTTATAAGATTTGCTCATGCATTTGAAAGGGAGACTGTCCATTTTATATGAACAATATAATATAACTTTTAACTCCTCTTAGAACTCTTCGTTCCAGTGGCCAATTTTAACTCAAGCTAATTACCAAAAAAGACTCCAAAAACATATGGTCACAGGAGTTTCGAGATTGTTGCACCAATTTTATGGTCCAATTTATTAACGTAACAAATGTTTCTTTGAACGACTCTTATTACTGATTTAAAAAGAATTTAAAAACCTTTTCATGAATATTTTGGTTAACATTTATCTCTCAGTTTTAAATAATTTTATAGTAGTTTTTAATTAATCTGTGTAGTTTTAGCTTTTATATGTAAGTGCAAACAGCGATGAGACGCAAGTGTAGCGCGGTTTTAAGAAATTCTTCTTCTTTTTCTTACAAGGTATAATTAGTGGGTTTGATCTTCTCTACAGTCCAACCCATGTCGCGTGTGCTCATTAGGGTTAATACTATGGCTAAAAGATGGTTGCCCCATCTTCGGATCATTGCGCTTCTGCAACAACTGCACTCAACAGACGAGAACTGCGAACAAGTGCATTGTCACGATGAAACCAGAAGTGTCCCTGAACTCACCTGCTGCAAATGGAGTGAGAAGTCTGTTGAAAATGTCACGTGTTTAAGGAATTGATGGTGGTATTTTATGTCCATTGCGAAAGTACAGAGGTTTACTCTTGCTTATGGTGTGTACCATGTATCTTAACCACACCTTGTGTGTTCTTTTGAATCCCCACTTTTTACAAAGAAAAAGAAACGAAATAAATACATGGCAAAAGATTGGCTTCTGAATATTTATTCTAAATAGGAGGTTGTGTTATACAAATCTCCTACTATTGACTGAATATTTCAAAGATAATAACTGTTCATTTCATAATACCATATAAATAGGATTGCGTTTGATAATGCTATGCACCAAAAAACAACGAATCTTCATAACCGTTGCAGAAATAATCAACACCAGCTTTGACAAACTCTTTTTTGTCGATGCTACCACTTTGATTTTCGTCGACATAACTGAATGAATTATTGAAGCCTTTTTGAACATTGAATACTTGAAGGAAGGCTTTGTGCTCGAAGACGTTCAACTCTTCATCATCGTTTTCATCTGCTGCTTGAAATACACCCTTTGCCCAAAGTTTGACCAACGGCTGATATCTGTCGGTATTATATAGTGCCACTTCGCTCAAAATGAAATCCGTCACGTCCAATCTTGCCAGAAAGTTGTCTTCGGGGATGTGCCAAAAGGACGACCACGCTTTGGAGACAGTCTCATTGAAAGCGTTGACCTTTTCCGCCCCAAAATATACTCTTGCTCTTTCAACAGCCCTGTTGACATAGTCATCTTTGTCCACAAAACCGTCACTGTCAGCGTCCAAAAGGTTAAAGAAGCGGGGCAATTTAAAACGCCGTTTATCCCCTTTGTCCAGACCTTCCTGTTGTTAATGAAATGTATAATAATAATAATTAAACGATGTTTGTCTTAATGGAATTTTAGATTATTCATAGAAAAAATACTATTTGTGGAAGATACACATTTAGCATAACCTTCGCGTATATTTACCACATATTGTTGTGATGAATACGAATTAAGACACTAATTCTCCTAACGTGATATTGGTACTCATTTGAAAGGGATCTCTAGAGATTGGAATTCGATTGATGCGTGAGATTTGTCACAAACATGGTCAACAAAAGCAAGATTAGGTAATTCTCCAGGATGCACAAGAGATATATCCATAATAGCGTTTCTACAACAAATATAAAATATTTCATTCGTTGCTTATTATCAAACTATTTTGCCAAGTCATATTTCAGTGCTCTTGACAGGGAACTGCAGATTTACACTTTATCTTATGGAGCGCCATTCACGCAAAAAATGCAGACGTCAATTCAACAATCTATCGGCACTATTTAACAACCAAAACCTACTTTAACTATCTAAACTTAATTCTACTAAATTAGTTTTGGTCATTTTAATCATTCGTCAAAATCTAACAATCAATAAACGATTCAAAAGTCAATTACCGCAACTCAACAATCAGTCACCGCAACTCGACAATCAGTTATCGCAACTCAACAATCAGTTACAGCAACTCAACAATCAGTTACTGCAAACGGTCATTCGCGGACTTAACACCAGATGGTCAGCGATCTGAAACGTCCTTGACCTTTTCCATCGTTTTAACAGTATTAAAATACGTGGTGCCTCGATTTGAAACCATTCAGCTTAAATTGTGTTTTTAATCTCCAAATACTTAAAAAAATCAATAAAGCTAATCGACAAGAACCTATTATATCGTATCTTTTATATCAATTATTATTACATATCACAATAATAAACGAGTCGCCTTTTGATGTACGCGCCCGGCTATAACCTCTATTAAAAAATATCAATTTTTATGAGATTCGTATTGTTTGGTTCCATTGCCTCGCTTTCAAAAATTAGAACAGGCGCTCCAAAATCGTAAGACGAAGTTAAAATTTTTATATTGGCCGAGTTCGCCACCGACTAGAATGCCTATACGTCCCCGCATCCGATACTCCCGCGCTTCTTTACATCACCGCACCAATACTCCCCCGCACCGATACTCCCCCGCTTCTTTACATCCCCGCATCGATACCCCCCCACTGATACTCCCGCGTACCAATACTCCACAAAAACACTACTCCCCAAAGCAAAGATTCCCTGGGCTTTGTAGACACAAATCGTGATTCAAAACCCTTTCTATTATGCTATTTTTTTTTTTCAAAGTTGCACAACCCTCTTGGGACACATAATTGACACATTTTATTCGAAATATATTGGGGAAAATAAAGGGCGTTACTCGAAGTCGATCTCAGACTTTGCGTGCAGCTTAACAGTCCGTAGGCCTACAGCTATGCCTTGTAAATTTGAGAAATGTTTGTGCAAAATTAATATTGTTCTCCTACTGTAGTTACCGTATTTATATTATACGCCCTTTTATTTATTTACTTAAGGCAAAGTTAGTTTTAATCTAAGATGACGCAGCTATGTCTTTTCCTCAGGCAACGATGATTTTGTTTAATTATTAAATAATAAAAAAGCAGTGCTAAAGCGCTTCGTTTTCTGTTATCTTCCTCCAACCTTCTTTTCTGCTCTTAAACTTCTTTCCCTTGTCTTTTGGAGGCATATTAGAATCTGAATTGAGCAAAATTCAAAATTTT